TTTGAGATGGAGTTTCATTCTTGCTGCCCAGGCTGGAGTGTGGTGGTGTGATCTTGGCTCACTGCAACCTCCACTTCCTGAGTTCAAACAATTCTGCCTCAGCTTCCTGAGTAGCTAAGACTACAGGTGTGTACCATCACATCCAGCTAATTTTTGTATTTTTAGTAGAGATGGGGTTTCACCACATTGGCCAGGCTGGTCTCGAACTCCTGACCTCAGGTGATCCGTCCACCTCGGCCTCCCAAAGTGCTGGGATTTCAGGCATGAGCCACCGCACCTGGCCTATAGCCATACTTAATTGTACCTTTACTAAACAGATGAACTGCTCTACATCTATCAAGGAAAGGCCAAACCTAGTAAATTTTTATCATTCGCAAACTGTCAGAGTTGGGAGAGAGCTTAGGGAAAACAACTTTCAAAAACTGGAATGTAAAGTCTATTGTATTTAGCCTGAAATAATCTTTTAAATGAAAAAGATTTATCAGAGTGAAAATTAAATGTCATTTTGACACAATGAATCACAAGCAAATATTAAATATATACATTCTCTATGCATTTTTCAGATCAATCTTCAAGATGAGCTGAGAACAGCTGTTTAGAATAGTGCGATTTTGCAGTCTTAGCATTGCTGTTTAGGGTTTCAAACTAAATTCTGGGCCACAAATACCCTACATTTCTCCTGTCTGGGACGCTCCCGTCAGGGCTTTAGAGGACAAGCCTGATGGCCATTGGGATGTCCTACTGATCTGGGACATGGGGTAGCAAACCAAGACAGGAAAAGAGCAAGCAATTGGTGGAATTTCATCTTTCTATTATTGATCAATGACAATAAACCAATATTCAAATTGTATCACTTCCGATCAGAGGCTGAGAAGAGGTTTTCTCCCACTTGGCTCATTTGAGCTCAACCAGGTCGGATGCCTGGAGTCTTCTCTAGAACAGTATCTGATTACTTGGTAAGGCTTCCTTTTGCACTGGTGGACCTCTGATCCAGATGACAGGAAAGAGACTGAGTTCTCGTAGTAAGTTAATATCACGCAATCTAATCGTCTTGAATACATCACAGAGCATTTATGAAAGTTGGAATTTTAAACAACCAAACATAAATTAACCAAGTTTGTTACTGCTCTCCAAGAAAAGCATAGACATGGCTAAGCTTTATGAGCTGAGATTATATTATCTGATCTTAGGTAATATCCACAAGGAGTAATAATGACAAAAATTTGCTCTTCATATATTGGTCAAAATATAGAAAGAGGAAATGCTGAACTTGATTACTGTAAATGGCTGGCTGATATCTCTCCAGTGATCTCTCTCCTTTTTTTCTTATTTGCCAAGGAGCCAAAAATTCACCCTGAGTGTTTCAGGGGAATAAAAGGACTTTGAAAAATTTTACAGGAAATTATTAGGTACATTTCTGCTTATCACATGGTTATGAATATATATGTAATACCAATAGTGAAATAACATGTACATAATTTTTTTAATGCAGACACACATAAAAGCAGTGTTCAACCAGTAAATGCTCAGCTACTAGCAATGACCCTGATCAGGAACATATGAATGATGAACATAAGGAAGTTAGAATATGGACTAACAGGCAGTAATTACAAGGAAATTGCAAATCCTTTTACGTAGGTTAATGTCTGGAAATTTTGCACCATCTAAAGTAAATCCAGACAACTAGACTGAATACTTTGCAATGACAAATAAGTGACATAATGGCATTATGATTGATTCTTCTATGTATATCTGTTCATTACATATTGAGTCAAACTTCTTCAAGAAAATGCTAGTACTGATTCACTTTTTTGACCTTTAAAAAAAAAAAAAAGATTTGCTTTGCAAGAACAATTCTAAAACAAAATAAATGACTTACTAACTTTATCCTTTGCCTTTTCTGGCATTTTCTTTTTCCAACTTGAAATATAACTAGCTGCTTCTTGTGCAATAAAAACTGATTTATGAAACAAAATGGCTCTCTCCAAATCTTCAGCCTGTAGGCAACCCACCATCAGTTACCATACATGTGAAACAGGACATAGGGATTGCTAAACATTCTGAATTACAAAATATGTTTAAAATACTATGAAATTGAGGTCACAGTAAAAATTGTTCCTTTCTTTTTAAGTCTTCCACTAAAAATGGCTATAGGATCTTGAAGATTATTCTAAATTCAGTATGTAAAAAATTTTCAAAAGTTTTTAGTTAAATCCACGTGTAATGGCAGTGTTGATTAAACTCTTCTAAGGAAATCTAAAAAATGCCAGCTAATGGTCATATTCCCATTTTGAAGATAACTGGCATGATACCACCATCATTATACAATCTTCATCATGCATATTTGGTATGGTTCGGATTTCCAGAAAGACATATTGCCGGTGATACAAGGATGGCATGCAGCATCCAGGCCTCAAAAATCAGATTCTATGTGCAGTCCTTCCTGAATGAAGACACGTGGTTGGCTGACAGTAGATTTTAGTAAGCAAGAATACTAGTGGCATCACGGCAGTACTCAGGAGACTCTAGGCTGTAGTCAAGACTCCAGGACCCATCAGGAATCAGAGGGACTAGTCAGTAAATAATTTAGTAATGCCCAGGAAAGTGTTGTTCTTTGAAGTTATGTTAGGAAACACTTCTCCTCTGAAGCACATGAATGGGCAGGAGTGGTCAATAAGCTTTTACTCAGTGTGTACATTTCTGAAACACTTTTTGGCCTTCCACCGCTCTTCAATGCGAAAACTGAGGCCACTTAAATCTAAGCACAGAACTTCAGGTGCCACTTTGCTTAAAATAAAAAGTACTCTAGACCAGTGCTGTCTAATATGGTAGCCACTAGCTACATGTGTTTATAGAGCACTTGATGTACCAAAGGTATAACATACACTCCTGATTTTGAAAACAGTATAAAAATAAAGAATTCAAAATCTCATTAAATTTTAATATTAACTATATATTGATAGAATAATTTGGATGAATTGGATTAAAAATGCTACAGTTTCATCTATTTTTCTTAAAATGTGACTAATAGAAAATTTTAAATGACATATGTGCTTGCATTATATTTATATTATATTTATATAATGCACTTGTTCTGGACAATAACTTCTACAACCATATTATTCTAATTTTACCTTATTTATGTGTCCTGGGAAAAGTGAAATTACAGTTTAAGAAAAACTACTGGATTCCAATTAGACATTGTTAATGGGGGAAATAATTCAAGACTCTCCTTCATTGTTAAACACACACACACACACACACACACCCTAGTTTTTGCTAAGTATCTGAACTTATCTCAGAATAAAAACCAATAATGTAATGTGATAATTGTTAGGTCTAAAATGTAATTTATTGCTTGTTGAAATTTAATTCTTTTGCTTTGTGACTATATTGCCAATTAGGAGTAATGTTATGAAGTATTTGTTAAATTAAATCTCTATTTGTCTACTGTTATTTAGCAAAGTAATCTTTGAGACAGACAATACATTCCATTTTAACAAGAAATATAGACATTGGCTGTGCTTTCAAAAACGTTAACATAATTATCCTAACTTAGGATGTATACATATGAAATCTCTGAATAATCTGACTGAAATGACCAACATTTTTTAAAGTTTGACTTTTTCCTACTAAAACAATGAAATTAGTCACTATATAGTCATTGTCAGAATCTAATCTTTAACATATGAGTCAAAATTTAAAACACATTGATTTTTAGAAAATGTAGTTTATAGGTTAAAAAAGATAGAGGGAATTATCTTCATCTCTTGAATACCCACATCAAGGAATGGTCATATGCACTCATTTAAATGAGTAAATTCTAAAATACACATTGGCCCTGGTATTTGCAACATTGCTTCTATAGTCCATGGGGCCAACCAATGCCATCAGCACTACTCTAGTGTTGGAATAACGTAACAACTGCCCTTGGAACAATATGGCGGCCAGGGGCAGGGAGGAATGATATGTTCTGATCTTTCAGCTAATTGCCACTTTCTAACAAGAATCCCTTCCTTCTCTTTGCTCTTCCAATACATACATACGTGTGTATATGTGCATGGGTATGTGCGTGGGTGCCTGTGTGTATCTGTTGAGTCTCATGGTAAAAAGTACAACAGGAAGTTGATCCTCTTAAATGGAAATCTTAATGCTTAATAAAAAAGGCATTTTTAAAGGTTAAAAGCAGTGAGCCCCTAATAACGGACAACATAAGAATTCTGAGAGGGAATAATTAAAGGAGGAAGGAAGAAAAGAGGGAAGAAGAAAAGTGCTCTTTTTACTAGATAGTACATATAAAACAAAACAAAACAAAACCTTCTGAGCTCAGATGATATGCCTCTTCAGGGGCTCCGTATCAGTGACCTGTCAGATTCCTAAACTATGAAAGATAGGAAGTCCTATTTTGTTTTCTTCCCATGAGAATGGTAGTAAAGGGAGATTTGTGATTGGAAAGAAGAATGTCTACTGAGGTCCAACAAGCTCTAGAAACTGGAGCTTTAATTTCATTTTCTAATTTACTAGTTTTGAGGGAGGACCAACATAATTTAGATCTCTTTTTTTAAATTAGGATTTTTATATGATAGTCATTTTTATTGTCTTTAACTTGGTCTCTGAAAATAATTGTTTTTTAAAATGACTATTTTTAAAATTAGGAAAACCCAACAATGTGATACATAATCTGATATTCATTTCAACTCAAACTAGAAATAAATTGGAGATACTTAGTGCAATATCTATAAAGGGAAAGTGTTCCTATGAAAGTCAAGGAGAAATTATATTTATTCTAGGAAAAATCATAACAAAATATTAGTTCTAATGTTTCAGCCTTTTAAAAGTCTGATTTGAAATCAGTGTTTTTATTTTTGTTTTTGTTTTTTAAGGTAAATAAATGGCATTGTGCTAGATTTCTTGACAGGCACTATCTCAACACTACGTTGTAAAATGTGGATACTTTCATTCTAAGTATGAGAAAAAGACATACTAGCTTTCCATAAATAACTAGTTTATAAGTGATATATGCAGATAACCATCAATTGGATAAAAAAAGAGCTTTGGTAAAGAATAATGTTTTCTTATGCTATTAAAGTCAATAATGAATGATCTTATAATGGAATATTATTCCTACCATTCTGACATTTTGGCACTAACCTGTGGAATACATTTTTCTAAATATTTTCTAAATATTTGAAATTTGGTAATTACAGAGTTTATCCATTAAAATGTTCCTTTCTGTAAAGTTGTATAAAGCCATGAGTAAATACAATTTTATATGGAAAATGAAAAGAAATCAATCTTATCTTCAGTCTAAGTGGTCTTACCTTCTTTTCTTCCCTGTTTCTTTATTACACTCTAAGCTTTGTCTATCAGAAAGTCATCTCATTGGAGAGCAGGTGAAGGAAAGAATGAAACTCAGTATGAGTTTGTAAAATACTTCCTTCAGGGTTGTAAAATAGCAGAATCTTAGAAGATTTTGGTTATTATTAATATAGTGTATATAAATAAGAATAAAATAAAGCATTCTCCACATAAGCTTTAGGGACATATGGTTTCAAGGCCTTTAAAGGATGCTTCAATTTCTTACTATTGCAAGTGGAATTTTTTTTTTTTTGCATGTATGTACAACTATCATCTTCAAGCATCTCCTTGTAAACAGTCTGAACACATCAATGGTAAAAAGTAAAATGTTGTGAAAGTCATGGAAACATGTCTTACAGCACTACCTAGTATTAGCCAAGCAGTAGTTCAAAGGAATTACTACCTTGTGAAGAAATCCAAAGGACGTAGGATGACTAGGTTTTCAAACCAAAAACAGTTTGCTACTATTCACTTCAAATATGTGCCACTGGTTGCTGAAAATGTATGTTTTTAAGTGTCATGTTGTGTTTACTTGCAAAATTTAACTCATTGGTATTAGGTATCCATTACATGCCATAGAAGACACTATTATTTTCATAAAGCAGTCACATGCATTGAAGTTAGAATTACCAACTGGTATATATGTATTTGTTTTGCACCTCAAAAACAGAATCACTATAGTACATATCATGCTTCCACACCTTCCTTGCTGAAGGACAAAGCACATAAAATGCCGGTGTTTGGCTTCCAGATTTGAAGGAAGCCGGCTTAGTACTCTGGCAGGATCACATCTTGCTGTGGAACTTCAAATCCCACAGCGGAGCTTCCTTGCTCTTCTCTGGGGGCTGCTGCTTCCTCCACAGTCTTCAGCTTCTCCTCTGCCAGGCCCTCCTCTGTGTCAGGGTCATCCACCTTTATCCCATCCTTCACTGCCTTGGGCACCATCCTGGGGGCCTCTTCAGCATTTATATCTTCATCTTTAACTTTCTCTAAAGCCTGTAACTTCATCAGCTCAGCCTGTGCCCCCTTAACTGGGGCTCGAGCCCCATCTCCTTGAATTTTCTCTCCTTCTGGAATAGCTTTGATGTCCTCGTTGCCATCTTGAATTGGAGAAGGGTCTCGGCTAGCCTTGTGGCTCTCCTGGATGCTACCATGGCTGCTGCTGGCACTTCCCAGCCGGGAAGAGGCCACCACGGCCTTCACCGCTGCCTGATTGGAAACAGAAGGGTGTCAAGTGTTACCTCTGCGTTAACACACCACATCAGGGCTCAACCCCAACTGCGCTTTTAGAGATTCTGTTTCATAGGTTAGTGTTAAAGCTTTCAAAGTACCTTATTCCTAGATTGTTTGCCAAAAGAAAATTTGGAAGATGAGCAGTACAACCTCTTTAATCTCAAATTAAATACAAATTAGTGTATTTAATCATCTAGATAACTGAAAGCCTGAGTAAATGCGTTTACCCATGAGTAACCAATTTTTGAAAATTTTAAACTGTGTTTCCCAATGTATTTGTTTTATGGAACACTAGTTCCATGGGTATTACTAGTTTTTACCACACGGATGTCATCATGGGTATACAAGAGTTCCATGATCAAGCTAGCTTGAGAAATCCTAAGTTAAGTCAATATGATGTAATTTGGGGTATTTATAATTAATTTGACCACGGAACCTTTCATATTTATTTAGTCTGTATCAGCCTGTGAGCAATGGCTGCATAGGACCCTAATTCTGACACCCAGCTGTTCTCTGAGATCCTCTATTTACAAAGCTAGTCCTAAACACAGTTATGTAATAGAAAAGCTCCTAATCTGTATTCCATAGGTACTATATAAAAATGACATATTTTGTTAATTTACTATAGCACTTAAATTTTTAATTTTTTCAAGTAATCATCTATCTGTGTTAGTAAATATAGTTTCAAAAATTGTCTCCCAAGTTTTTCATATTCCAAAAGAAAACAACTTTCTAAATAAATATCAGTTTTTCCTGAACAATGCCATTTAAGCAGTACACTTTAGTTAGATGGGAAGCAGCAATAATATATTTGGTATGTAAATATCAACTTATAACAAATTTCCCTTCATTAATAATGAATTCCTTATGAGAGGATAAGAAAACTGTAAGTAGCTTTGTGTCAGCAATATTGGAATTTCAAAGCAGGATTTTTTCTGGTGCCTTAAAAAATAAACAACAGTATTAGATGAAGAATAGTAGAACTATCATTGATAGATCAAGATAAGAGATACTTTTTTAAAAAAAACAAAACAAAACATATGCCATCTTACCTTAAGCTTACGCCGAGCATTGAATTCTTGGAGCTTCTTTTGAGCAGTATCCATGTGTACAAAATTGGCTGCTTTACCTGTGACCCATGGATGCTGGAGAGCTTGAAAGGTAGTCAGCCGTTTCTTTGGATCCAAAACAATTAATTTTCTGACCTGAAATAATAAAGAACCATGAACTTAAGGGAGGTTTTTAGGTGACCTGGGCTTGCCCTCAGCTTACAAACTTCCCAGTCTTACTCTATTTCACAGCAGTACCACTAAACATATGTTGGAAAAATTGTTTAAGTCCTCAGGGGTCACTGTGGACAGGAACGGCTTGAGGTAGCAGTAGCTGAGGGACTGTGAAAAGACGGGGGCATGTACCACCTGAGACCCCCAAACTGACAGGCAGCTGTCCAACGGAAGTCAAGAAACAGCTCCTCACTTGCCTGTAGACTGGAAGTTCTTTGAAGGCAGAACCAGCAAAATAATTCTGGGCTGCAATTCACAACCACCTAGAATTCAGAACTTAAAATACATTTCTACGGTAACAGAATGAAATCATTCATGCATCACCATTCTTTCTGTGGCAATTCAATGACAAACAAAAGGGAGAGTATCCCAGCACTTACAGAATACTACCTTATGTTTCTATCTTGGGGTTCACAGCTCTTTCTAACCCCTTGAGGGTACATGAAGGACTAAGCCCAGAGTTTAAAAATCATTTTATAATCAAAGAAGTCCGTGGTTTGAGGGCATGATTTGCGTAAAGAATGGAATCCAATCATTGGCAGCCCATTCCTGGAGGATTACTACTGCTTGGGCAGTCAATAAATTCCCAGGAAGGTCAACAAATAAAATAATCCACAGTTCTGAGCTTGGTAGGGGTGACCTGATATGAGGTAGAGAACTACTGGGATTCAGGAAGCATGTTCAAGCCCTGTTTACGCTGCTCACCACTTTTGTGACCCTAGACACAGACATAATACATGAATTACCTATGGATACCTCCTCAGGCCCTTTCCTTACAAATCTTATTTCCACTTTAATTCCTTTGTAAATGTTTCTTAGATGAATATAAAACGTTTTAAAAACTCATGTAATCCTTTTAGTAGCCTTCCCATTCGGAACTAATAGTGCCAGTTCATAAATGTGGGAAGCAGGGAAACTCATTTAGTGACTTGCCTAAGGTCAAACAGTGTGGAATTGACGGAGCCTGTATTTAAACTCAGGTCTGTGTATGCCAGAGCACATCTTGTGGCCACTACGCCATGATGTCTCCAAGGGGTCAATCTCTCTGTACTTCGGCCTGCTCATGTGTAAAATAAGAAGCTTTGAATGAGTGTAGGTCTCAGGTCTTTTCTAACTCTAATTACCTAAGGATATGTGAACACAGGTGAAGGAAATTAGGTAGCAAATCAAATGAGGAATAAATACTATCTGGTTCTCTTGACACTTCCCTTCTACAAAAGAATTTCTGTTTTGGCTAGATTTGCAGAAGGCAGAGACATGAGGCTATTTAGGCTTAAAATCGGAGAGGACATGGAGGAAGGCAGGATGGTTAAGAGAAAGAAAGCATGGTGGTAAATAAAAATCTGATAGTACTCAGAGCTATCATCCCTTGAACATGTCTACCAATAATTTTATGTAAATGAGATCTAATCCTTACAACATTTTTGACAATTAGGTATTTTCCTCTTATTTTTCAAACATATTTCTCCTCTCCCTCACCATTACGATCTTTGTTATGAAAATGCAAATAATTTATTGAAAGTCAATGTACACCAAAAATTTATATACACCATTGTTAATGTTTACATTTGAAGATTCCTAACTGAATCGTTAGGAAACTTTCTGAAGGTTAGAATCACACTCAAAGCCTCGCCATTACCCTGCAGTACCGCTTACATCCAATTCCCCAACTCCTCAGCGTTTAGTCTCTGTCAATGACACAACAGATGTGGGTTTTGCTAGTAAGTATGCATTTATGGAGCTCAAGGGTTCTTCCAGTTCTGAAGTTTTACACGATGATAAACTAACATGGGATCTAGCTGAATGAAGGAATATCAAAGCTAACCCTCTTAGTCACTTAATGTTTATTAATGGTGAAAAGAAACAGAAGGAGGCTAAATAAGAGAACTATTTTAAGTTAGTTGATACTAGCTTAAAACTTAACATATATTATGTTCCTTAATTCTCACAACAACCTAGAGATAGGTACAATTATCATTCTAGATGAGAAAACTAAAGCATAGGGGGGTTAGATCATAAGCCCAAGGTTACACTTCCAGGACATGACAAAGGGGGCATTTAAAGGGGGCATCCAGCTGTGTCAGACTCTAAAACTTCATGGTGTATTTCTGGATCCACTGTTTCATCCAATAAACATTCATTGAGCCTGTACTGTATGCCCATGTGGTTCTAAGGTCTGGGTATACATGCTGTGTTCTGCCACAGAGCTCAAAATCTAACTAGGGAGGACCATTAAACATATACGTGATGACTATTATGAACTGGGGGGTGCAGGAGGTAAAGGACGATTTTGGCAGAAGGAACCAGCTGTAGGAGAGAGGGACTGAAGGAGAAGGCTGACCAAGCTTCCCAAGGGATGTCTAGTGGCAGCTGCGGCTTGAGAGTAAGAGTTACCCAGGGGTGTGTGTGCTCATGCGTGTGTTTGTGCACGTGTGTAATGGAGGACAAGGTAGGGAGGAAGAACGAGAGAACATTACAGAGCAGAAGAAAGAGTCATGGCAACATTCTGAGCAATGCTGATGAGAAAGTGCAAGTGTGCTACACTAGAGTGAAGAGTGATCAAAGAGAGATGCGAAGTGAGTGATGGCACAGGGGAGAGTGGCAGGCCCCAGTCCAGGCAGTGTCATCTAGATCTTGTTATGGGTTTTGGATTTTATCCTAAGATTCTTAAAGCAGGAGAAGGACACGATGTAATTTATTTATAAGACCATCCCTCTGGATCCTGTGCAGACTGCATTTGAGAAAGGCATGAGAAGAGGAAAGGAGTCCACATAGGAGGTTGGAGCAGTGGTCCAGGGGGAGAGAACTGGATGGATTCAAGGGATGTTTGGGAGCAAGGGGTATGACTCGAGGAAGGAGTTCCAATGACATATCTACATATCACCCATCACACACACTGACTTTCTCTTCCCAGTCATATTGGAAAAGCCATAAGCTTTATCTGTTCCATGAAGGAACACAGAGGATAAGGAAGAAATGCTTGAAGAAAAAAGAGCACTGGAAAGGGAGTCTGGGCAACTGGATCAGCTCTAATAATGTCTTTCTGCTGGGAAGCTATGTGACCTTGGCAGTCATTTCACCGTCTGGCCTTTAGCATTCTCATCTTTAAAATGAGAGGAGGACTAGATGCCTCCTAAGACCTCGTGGACATCTAACCTTCTATGATTCAAAAGTCAGCTTTTGATTATGTCTGTGTGATTTTTCTCTAGTGGATCGATGATAAATGTTTCAATCTCATGCTAGGATCGTCTTGATTTTATAAGAGGTGAATGACCTCCCCAGAAGGTATGCATTTCCTAAATGCAAACAAATATCAATATTAACTTAAGTGAGAAGTAATATAAAAACAAACGAAATGAACTATTAACACAGTGGAACATTTTTATAATGCCAGTAATACATAATGGGACTTATGTTACTACCAGGATATTTTAATAACTTTGAACGAAATTTCAGGAAGCAATATTGTTTTAGTTGAAGTATATCTAGGCTGGATGCAGTGGCTCACACGTGTAATCCCAGCTCTTTGGAAGGCCAAAGTGGGAGGACTGTCTGAGGGCAGGAGTTTGAGACCAGCCTGGGCAACATATCAATACCCCATATTTACAAAACAATTTTTAAAATTAGCTGGGTATGGTGGCATGCACCTGTGTCCCAGCTACTCAGGGGGTTAAGGTGGGAGGATTGCTTAAGCCCGGGAGTTGGAAGCTACAGTGAGCCATGATGATGCTACTGCACTCCAGCCTGGGTGACAAAGTGAGATCCTGTCTCAAAAAATAAAAAAATAAAGAAATGAGGTATATCTAAATTCTAGGCACTTGCAAGCCATGTTAAAACAGAATTCTTCGTGTAAACTGTGTTAGAATTCACCCAGCACAGCTTTCTTCATAAGCAAGGTGTTTTATACTGATTAGGTAGTAAAAGCTCATTAATCCTGTAGTAATTGTAGTTTATGATAATTCAGCTAGTGATGAGCCAAAAACATATCTAGTTTTTATTTCCTAAGGAAAATATATTAATGAACTCATTTTATTAAAAATACTTTAAAATTGAAAGGACATATGATATTAACAAGAGCAAAATTTTAAAAAATTGTACTGCCCATTGATTAGTTAAAAATCAATTTATTTCATTTTGTTTCATTTTGGTTTGGTTACACTTACCAAGTCCTTGGCATTTAGAGATACTTCATCCCACCAGGGGGAGATAAAGTAATATTCACAATTCAGAATTCTCCTGAACATGAACTGATCACCTCGTTCATCATAGAATGGTTCAAATCCACAAAGTCTAGAGGAACAAAATATAGAGAATAAAATGTCTTTGAAAGCTCAAGTATATTTCATCAGATTTCTGTAGGAATTCAAGACTGTTCTTTTCCACAGCTTCCAGCTATGGAAGTACCTCTACTTAGCACAAGTATGTAACTGCCTTATTACAATTCACTATTGATAGTGTAAACACACAATCAAGGCCTCAGGAAGTAGGAATTAATATAAAACCAACTTAGGATTTCTACAAAAAGCTATAATAATAATTATTACACAGAAGAACAAGAGTAATAATAGCTAACATGATAGACATTATGTTAAAGCCTTTCCATGGATCTTTTGACAGGTATTGAGAAGACAGACAGACAGGCAGACAGAGATTGATTAGACTTCCAATTTAGTAGAAAAGGGAAGAGCTGGGATTTTTGAGAGTAAAGAAATCAAAAAGTGGAAAGAAGAAAATTTTCATTTATTTTTATTCTGCCCTATTCTATGAAATCTTCCATAGAAATGAAGAAAGCTTTATGATATTTCCATTCCATTCCCGTTTGGATTTCAGAAAGAACAAAGACAGGAGCTGAAACTGTTGTCAGGGAATGGCCTTACAAGGTGTGTAATATTAACATAGTCACCAGATGCAGTCAAAGAAATGAGCAGTCTCAATTTACCTCATTCTTTGTATCATTTTCTTCTACTGAGTCAGCTTAAAAATGAATGGGAAACATGGGATAAAAGGGACAGAGAACTATCTTGGGCATCTTAACAAGAGAGAAAGGAAAAGTGGGCCTCCAGTGTTTATAGATGGGTGGAAGTTCTAAAATTGGTAGGGACTGGGAAAGAGGGAACTGCTTAAAAAATCCCATGCCAGGGCACGTGTTGCTTGTGTTCCATTAGAAAAACAAATGAGGGTGGGAGGGAGGATGAATAAAAGACATTTTCCCGAAGGCTTCCCTCAAGCTGGCCAGGTTGGTACATAGCATGAAAAATTAAAGTGCATCCTAATATGATGAGTTTTTAGAAAGAAGCAGTTTCTTATGTGCTTTTGTTCACAGAACGTCCCACTGGGAGAATCTTTTGTCTCTTCCAGATACTCTGTAGCCAGCGAGAAAAATGTAAGGCTTGACAGTGCTGAGGCCTGGGCCAATGCATTCTCCCTTTCCCTACTGAGCAGTCTGCACAGAGAATCCCACTCCCGACCTGCCTGTGGAAGAGCAGCCTAAGGTGAGACGGGGCACATGTACTCACCTGGACAAGGAGAGAGTCTGGCCTTGCCTGCCTTGCCTGCCCTGCCCTGCTCTCCACAACACTAGAAACCTATGGCCTGTTGCAGTTAGTCATGGAGAAACGAGCCAGCTTTCTAGACTTAGTTTAGGAGGTCCCTTATATTTCCCCTTCTGAAAATGTAGAGACAAAAATGACCCCTCAAGAGTTATAGTGCTCAACTGCCTTTTCTTTCATTTCAATATGATTTGTGACCTTGTGCCTGGGTGACAGAGGTCAAAGGCACCAATTTAAAGCCTTAGGGCTGAACTGTAGTGTTGAAAGCTGAAGGAGAGTGTTTGAATCTCTGATGTGATCTGATTTCTGATGAGATCATAAGGCCCAATCCTGCAGCTTTTGTCTGTAGGGGCAGAAGGTTTAGGTATAAAGTAAAGATACCAGAATTCCTGGGAGAAAAATTAGAATGGCCTTCATTTTCAGCCTAATGTCATTCTTAGAAATAGCAAGGCCATACCAACATCCTGGTGGTGACAAGCTAGAACTCTGAAGAAGGAAAGAGTGAAGTTAAAATGCAAGAGTAGCCACAAGAAGAGGGGTAAGAGTGAACAGCGTTCTTTATATGGATAGTAAGAATCAAATGTCTATTCATGGCTTTATTGAAAAATGAGCCCCAGAGTTTATGTACATACAGATAAGTATCGGTAAAACAAATGCCTCAACATTTGGAAGACAGAAGGAAGCATCTGACTGAAGCTTATAATGTAGCTTCATTGTAAGATTTCCTTTCCCAGGAAGCATTAACAAATTGTATCCTTAGTTCTAATTCTTCATTTGGTTACTTCTGTACTCTGTCTCCAAGCCCTTCTGGTAAAATGAGTGAGATGTTAGAGGTCATAGTCTCAGGTGCCCAGCAGGCCACTGAGTGTACATTAAACCAATCTCATAAAGGAGATCCAGGGATCCAGTGACACAACCCACTAGACAAAATGTACCAGTCGACCTTGCCAGTGGACTTCACCAATTATTAATGAACCACAGAGTAAATAAAACATCCTCAGGCTTAGGGGCTGACAGAAGTTGGTTGAGAACTAAAGAATATTAGCTGTAAGCAGCACTGTTATTTTCACTTTGAAGGCTACCACTCTTACTTTCAACTAAACCTGCTAGTTAATTGCCTTAAGTGTATAAAGATAAAAGAAATATATAAAATAGTTTGTATAATTTGGTAATGAACTAGGGGATAGTACAGATTTTTAGAACTATCTTCAGGGTTACACTAACATATTTCTCAAATAATTACATTTTTCCCTTCATTTTTCCCATGTCAGTGATACCATGAAGTTTTATGCATTCCATATATTCCAATTTTTCTGGGTAAATGTAACTTAATTTCCTACTTCCATCTCTCCAAGTTTGTTTACATCATTAATACTTAATGCCTCCCAGTACATTTCAACAATGTACAAGTGTCAGTATATAGGTACATAAATTGGGTATATTTATAGTTTATGAGCAAACCTAAATTTTGGGGGCAACTACAGGATTCTCTACCTCTCTAAATTTCTCTCAAGCTTTTCTAAAGATACAAGGAATTGAACACTGAAAATATCTTTTTGTATTACATATTAGTAAGTGGTTATTTTATCAGGTGCTTGTTTAACCTTTTTGTCTTGGCTGTCAGCCAATGTGTATGAGGTGAACTTAAGAGTTTGCTAACGTGCTTGTGGGCGGCGCGGGGTGGGGCGTGGGGCCCTCCCACGGTTAGCCCATTCCTAGTCCATGTCACCTGGACACTGAATTTTTTAAGATCATTATTAAGTTAAAAACAAATTTAATAAAAAGCTTTCTGCTATGGACTGAATTGTATTCCCCCCTCACCCACAAATCCATATGTTGAAGCCCTAGCTCCCAATGTGATAGCATCTGGAGATGAAGCCCTTGGGAGGCAATCAGGTTTAGAGGAGGTCATGAGAGTGGGGCCTTCCTCACAGTATTCGTCCCCTCATAAGAAGAGACTCCACAGAGCTTGCTCTCTCTTTCTCCCCACCATGTGAGGGCACCGTGAAAGGGTGGCCATCTGCAAGTCAGGAGAGGGCCCTCAGCAGAAGCTGACTGTGCTGAAACTCTGATCTTGGACTTCCAGGCCTCAAAACTGTGAGAAAATAATTTTCTGTTATTTAAGCCACTCAGTCTATATATTTTGTTATGTCAGCCCAGGTAGACTAATATACTTACTTTCAAACCCTTTGAAATTTCTCTATAAATTTGAATATTATGCATTCCAACAACTAACTTTATAGCACTCTAAATGGCAACATCTCCTTGTTTTGAATTAAACTCTTGAACACATCAGTATCTTATTTTTTGGTTGTTCTACAGTAATCTTCCTTCTCATATGCTCTTCTAATTGATTGATTCTCTTCATCGCCACTTGCAGTTTCACCATTTCTTTGGCAAATTCCCTGAAACTCCTTATTTCTTATTAGACAGGAGCTCAGGAATGGAGTTAGGGATGCCAGAGATTGAAATATTTTGCTCATTTTTTTTTCTCCCAGAGAAATTTGTGTAGGGTGTTAAATTTAAGACCTTTAAAACCTAACAGAAATAGTAAACAAAATTGATAGCTAAAACACATTTAAAATATTCCTGATAAGAAATATGCCAGTTTGGAATTGCTTAAGAAATTAAATAGCCAGTTGCCCTTTTAAAAGGACTAAGTCTAATTATTTTAGATGAGATGCAAATAAGTAAAATAAAAGCAAGTTTACACAGGTGATTTTGGGCTCATAGTCATTACTACTGTCAAGTAATGAATTGTTCCCTAAATCTGCTGTACATTGCATAGCAGATAAAGACATGGAAAAACCCTGGACAAGAATTCTATCTCAGGAAAATTACAAAATAAAAAGCAATGTTCATTTTCAGGAAATTCTATCACTAAATGCATTTTATATGTAACAGAAAATCAAAAAAAGGCAAAAAGTAATCTTCAGGGTTTTTATGACAATTAGAGACACCTAGAAAATGTCACAGAAAGGTAAATAGTTTACATAAAAATTGCTTTTCTTCACTTACAAGATGTAGGTGATTATTCCTACAGACCACATGTCCACCTCAGGTCCATAGGCACAACCTCTAAGAATTTCAGGTGCTGCAGAAAAAGTGAAAATTGTGTTAAGGTTGAGCTTACAGTCAATGTTTGTATTTTAATATCAAGCAATGGGGAAGAAATGAATTCATCAAAAAAAGTTTCTGAACAGTTTCACAACCAATCTTCTTTCCCCAAACTACAGTATGAAGCTATAAATACTTATGTCTATTTTAGTGAGAGAAATGATAGTCTATCTGTGTTTGAGATGCATAAAACAACACTATTAAGTTTAATATTCCATGTCAGAAGATCATGAAACTGCTCAAATCAAGTAGATAGAGCTATATCTCTGCTACAAAAGACCCAGTACTTCAGAGGGAGCTTTGTACATAGAAATGAAAGTTAAGGGTAACAAGGGAGAAAAAAGTCACAATTATGCTCCTTGAGATCTAGACCTGCTGGGAGCAGGGTGTTTCAGTGAGTGTGTGGGTCTGACAGTGCAGGGTGGGAACCAGGGCAGATGGTGAAGAGGGCTGACAAGTCTATAGTTGAGAAGGTTGCAGCAGGGACTAGGAGATGCCCTGGTACACGTCCTGGCATTGAGAGATGCATGTAGGTCTTCAGGGAGCAGCTGATCCCAGTCAGCTTGAGGTCATGAACTGAGAAAGGGGAACTTATCTGTGCACAGTGAGTAGGCTTGTATTAGTTCTGTCCACTGTTGTGAAAAAGAAAGGCTTTCTCAGTCATAAAATAGTCCTGGAGTGGAGAATAGCAGTATCTTTTACATTTTTATTACCTTGGATTAGTGAAAATGGGTAATTAACTGGATCCAGGCAATTTTCCTGAGCGTTAAGGGTGTTATTTGTTTGCCCAATTAACAACAGAAGAAAAGGGGAAGTGAGAGCCCTACCATCTATGGAGAAATAGAGCTGAGGCCTATTGTCCAGAGTGGCCTTTCTTGATTTTTAACACAAGTGCTGTAGGTGCTAGGAGTGTTTTCAAAGAAAGAGCTTTTTGATTAATGCTGAAGGCTGCCTGAGGAAGACCTTGGGGATGAGGATACCATATCATTCTCTGGATGGGGGTTGGAATGCAAGTAAACAGGATTCTCTGTCTATGCAGGCTGCAAATGTCACATTCAGTGTTGATTGCCAAAGTGAGCTCTGGGGCCGGGTGCGGTGGCTCACAACTGTAATCCTAGCACTTTGGGAGGCTGAGGCAGGTGGATCACTTGCGGTAGAGAGTTCGAGACCAGCCTGGCCAACATAGTAAAACCCTGTTTCTACTAAAAATACAAAAAAATTAGCTGGACATGGTGGTGGGTGCCTGCAATCCCAGCTCCTCAAGAGGCTGAGGCATAGCTTGAACCCGGGAGAGTGAGACTCCATCTCAAAAAGATCGCACCATTGCACTCCAGCCTGGGTAACAAGAGTGAAACTCCGACTCGAAAAAAAAAAAAAAAAAAAAAAAAAAAAAAAAAAAAAAAAAAGAAAAGAAAAAAGTGAGCTCTGGAAAGAGGCTATCCTCATGGGACTCTCTGGATTTATCATACAGGAATGAATAATGTGGATGTTTCACTGATCTCATCCCATACTAGCCCTTAACTCTCATCATGCTCCAATTACGATTTTCTTTTCCCTGTGGAAACTGTGTTACATAAAATATGAGGAGTCTTCAAAAAGTTCATGGAAAATGCATATGATAAAAATTTATGCATGAATCTCACAATTTTTTATACCAAAATAAACTTTCACTAACTTGTCATAACATGTCCAAATAGGATCTAGTCTGAGACACTAAAAAGACTGAGACTTCAGTTTGAAAAGAGCTTCTATCTGAGCAACATGAATTCTGCTAAAACTGAAGCAAGAACAAACATCAAACTTGTGGTAAAGCTTGGGTGGAAGAATGGCAAAAACATTGAGCTTTATAAAAGTTTGTGGGGACAATGTTCTAAAGAAATTAACAGTATACAAGTGAATAACTCATTTTAAGAAGGGACAAGACAATGTTGAAGATGAAGCCCACAGTGGCAGACCATCCACATCAATTTTTGAGAAAAAAATTAATCTTGCTCATGGCCTAATTGAAGAGGACTGGCAACAACAGAAACAATAGCCAACACCACAAACATCTCAGTGAGTTCAGCTTATGCGATTCTGATGGAAAAATGAAGCTGAGAAAAGTTTCCACTTGATGGGTGACAATACCCTTGCACCTGTATCAGATGCAGACACAAACACAGCTTTCAATTGAAATTTTAAACAAGTGGGAGTGAAATCCTGAACTGCTTCTTCAAAGAATTATAAGAGAGATAAAACATGGCTTTACCAGTACAATCCTGAAGAAAAGGCACAATCAAAGCAATGGCTACCAGGAGGTGAAAATGGTCCAGTCTAAGCAAAAGCAAATTGGTAAAGAGTAAGGGTCATGGCAATGGTTTTTTTTTTTTTTTGATGCTCAAGGCATTTTGCCTGTTGACTTTCTGGAGAGCCAAAGAAAAATAATATGTGTTTAATATGAGATTGTTTTGAGAAAGTTAGCCAAAGCTGTAGCAGAAAAATTCCCAGGAAACCTTCACCAGAGATTCCTTCTCTTCCACAAAAATGCTCATGTTCATTGCTCTTATCAAACAAGGACCATTTTGTGAGACTTTTAATGGAAAATCATCAGGCATCTACCTTACAGTACTAACTTGGTTCCTTCTGACTTTTTTTGTTTCCTTATCTTAAAATCTCTATAAGGAACATTTACTCTTTTTCAGTTAATAATGTAAAAAACACTGCACTGACATGGCTAAGTTCCCATGATCCTCAGTTCTCTAGGGATAGACTAACTGGCTGGTGTTATCTTGACCTTGATGCAGCTTATGTTAAGAAATGAAGTTATTATTTTTTCATCACTTTTCACCATTTTCTGACAAACTTTTTAAAGTGACCGCTATATGAGATAAAGAGCCTGTATGCTGAGATGAGGGTGTGCATTCTAGCACTTTACACAGCAATTCAGCAAGATGCAACCTTTACAGAACTGTATCTGCAGCCAAAAAGTTTTTTAAATCTACAGGTGAATTAATCCTAGAAAAATTTTCTTTTAAGGTTTAATTTAAAAAATTAAGAAACATGCATGGCTGGTACCAACTACTGTCATTCACTCTGTCAGGTTAGCTTTCATTCTCTGGGGCAATCTGTACCCCGCAGAAATTGTCTTTAAGCCCAACCACACTGACAGTGAACTTTCACTTGTAAAGGGGAACTCGGATTATGCTGCCATTGCAGGAGGGCTGCTACTGCCTATTTTTTCTCTGAGAACTATTCCAGCCAAGGAGCTGAATGCATGGATATTGAATATGCATATTCAACATGCATTAGTCCTTTTCCACTCAGGTTTTCACATTGGTGAATCTTATCTGGTCTGAAATGCTATCAAGCCCCACACTGACATTTAAACATAAATACAGAAATATATTGGGAGAGTCTTTTACATTTTCTGGATCTTGGTTTTTTACCTCTAAAATGTAAATGAATCACAATAGCTGATTTCCAAGTTAACTTTGAGTTTTAACCTGCTACCCATTATATTATTAGTAAAGAATGTGTTACTGACCATTCAACAAGAAGAGAGAACAAGAACAACCATTCTAACCCGCAGACCTGTTGCATTTCTCATTTCTTCTGCTACAAGAGCTACTGTGTATCTGTGGGTACTCATCCTATTGGCTCTAGTGCAATCAATGCTCCCAACCTGTGTAGGCCAGAGACACATACTGGCAAGGGTCAGGTGTTTTCTCTAACCATTGTTTATAACTCCCAGCCAAAGAACTCTAAGGAAAATGAACAGTGTGCTACAAACTGCTTTTTGTATCCACTTTATAGGAGTCTGAGTTTCAAACGTAACACGGCAAGTTCTGATCTCCTATCACAGCATTAGGTGGAACCTTATGCTCCAAAGGCAATTAATTTTTTTGTGAAACATTGTACTGCAATGAGAGTAAACTTGTTATGAAAAAAGCTAAACTTCACAAAGTGAAGAAAACAGACAAGTATAGTAAAAAATATTTTTGCCCTCCAAAATAAATTTCTCCTAAAAATAATTACCTTAAAAAAAAACTTATCTTTAAAATCATAAACAAATGGAGTGAAACAAAGTCAAAACATCTAGACACAATTATATGTAATTTTCAATAACCTCTAAATATATATATATTTTTGAGACAGGGTTTCACTTTTATTGCCCAGACTAGAGTGCAGGTGAATTATTCCCAGAAAAAATTTCTAGGAATTTTTTTCCTAGAAAACCTTGGTTCACTGCAACCTCCGCCTCCCAGGTTCAAGTGATTCTTGTGCCTCCACCTCTTGAGTAGCTGGGATTACAGGTGCCCACCACCATGTCCAGCTAATTTTTGTATTTTTAGTAAAGATGGGGTTTCACCATGTTGGCCAGGTTGGTCTCAAACTCATGACCTCAGGGGATCCACCTGCCTTGACCTCCCAAAGTGCTGAAATTATAGGCATGAGCCACTGTGCCCAGCCCAAATATTTTAAATTAGTAGTTAATATAGCATTGATTTTGTTCAGAACCAGCAGACCACACTCTAGTAATCTTATTATGCACTTTCCAAGAGCCAGAAGTTTTTTTTATAAGAAAGTTCAGGCTCTGGCACCCCTAGCTTCAAGTCTCTTAAGTATCAACCTAAGTATCAAATGTCCTTGAAGGTAATTCTACTAATTTGTGATCTCCTTAGGGTGAGAAAGTCATCTACTTTCAATTTAGTTTTTTTAAAAAAGGCATCAATTAGTATATCCTTTAATGGTATAAGCACTCTGGCTGTCCTTCATATTGTTTCTCACCTCATTATCAAAACAAACAAAACAGAAGAAGAAAATCATTTTAAGACATAAAACAGCTTTCTTAATAGTTTTCTTTTTATTTTTACTTCAGTAACGTTGGGAGAATAGGAGGCGTTTGGTCACATGGAAAGTTTCTTTAGTATTTCTGAGATTTTGGTGCACCCATTACCCAAGCATTGTACACTCTACCCAATGTGTAGTCTTTTATCC